TGCAAATGTCATTACTTTGCGACTACATAAGTCGTAGTTGTCAAAGGATGAATTGAAAATAATTGTCGACGTTAGTTCCTCTCTGCATTACATGTTACGTCGTCAAATCGTTAACAAAAGTCCGTATATCAGCAGATAACGATGAAACGGCGTATCTCTAGCTTTTAGAAGGAGATAACGGTGACTTATTTTAAGTCAAAAGACAATAACGTTTAAAGATTTTTTTTAAATGACAATACGTTCTTTTGCTGAAAACAAGAATTTGTAATCAGAATAAACCGTATCAGCGATTTATTACATATTCTGGATGAGAGAGAAATAAAAAATATTTATAATCTAAGATTTCGATAAGATTTTTAGAGTTTAAGAGTTTTAGAAACTATAACTCTGTGAATAATTTTTCTTATTCTCTATACTCTAGTTTTAATCGTTTCTGATCTCTTCCACTTTTAAGCTTCTTATCATTCAACCGAAATAAGATGATAAAAATTATGGGTAAAAATCATTTCGTTGTGCAACATATCCTTAATAATATTCCAGTATTTTTAAAAACACTAGAAATATGTATTTACTGAGCATTTCCTCTTTTAGAAGCATAAGATATTTGTTTTATCATAGAATCAAAATATCAAAGAATATAATAAATTTTATAACAAATTAATTATAAAAATTGAAATGACTAGAAACTCTAATTTTGCAATATCTTTTGACCATGCTGGCTATTATACATCATCTACAAGTAAACTCCTTTGATAAATATACATCAAAATTCAGTGCATGATACCAATTCTGATTAAGTCTCATGGGAATGAGAAAACGCCAACGCTATTGTCAATAGATATCACCACTACTATCGATATACATCATCATTGATATGTACATACAAGGATCGCTGGTACGTTCATCGTCACGTTGGAGCAAGACAAGTAGAAACTGACCTGCAGAAACACGTGACAGTATCCTCGACGTCGATGGAAAGCGACGTCTCGATGGCGGAATATTTGAGAACCTTCCTGTTCCCCAGTCCGAACATCGGAACGCGGGCGCGACGGTACCAGGGAGGTACGGGCAGATGGGCCTGGGGCATAAAATGGAGGGCGGGAAGGAAAAGGGAAGGGAGGACAGGAAGGTGAGAGAAAGAGAGAGAGAAAGAGAGAGAGAGAGAGAGAGAGAGAAAGAGAAAAGGTAAAATATATATCTACTCTGCTCCGGTTGATTGGTTAGAATCACTCGGCCGGCCGCTAGGCCAGTAACGAAGCACAGACTGACATAGCTGTTCTCCAGACAGCGAGCAAACAGGCAGGCAGGCAAACAGGCAGGCAAGCCACCGTTCGCCAGGTACCACCACCGTTCTCTCCACCGCCACCGCCGCCGCCGCCGCCGCAGCCGCAGCAGATAAAGAGAAAGCGGAAGAGAGAGGGGAAGACGCGATTTATATCGCCGGAGGAAGAGAAGAGAACACACTCCACTGTGTTCAAGAAGAAGCGGAGATCGGCGGGAGGGAAATGGAGAGAACGGCCTGAGAAAAAGAGTATCAGGGGCTTCCTCAGGTCAGAGTATAGTAGAGTCGCCGCTATATTTTCCTCCCTTTTTGTCCCCTTTGCCTTTCTACTATCCTCACCCGAGCAGACTCGTCATAATGCAATTAACGATTGACCGAGCCGAAACCGGACAAGTTCTCCTCGTCAGTTACCGTGTTACGACGCAGTGCGAGATCACCCGATCTTGAATTCCCAGTTGAGCACTCCATTGTCTGTTGCTCGTCAGGGTCGTTCCCCTGGTGAGCATCCGACAAAAAGAAGATCCAACAGAGATGTCATGAGAGAATTAACTTGGTCCAAGAGCGATAGAAACGAAAAGTAGGTACTCGATAAGACAAAGTACAGAAACCATTGTCTCAAATAGAAAACATTGGCTTTAAAGAAGGTGTAAACTCTAAAACGTGAATGTCTTTGTAATGTTCAGAAAACGTAACGAAAGCAAATTCCGTGCATATAAACAATAAGATATATTTATTAACAATAATATATATTTACGTATCATATTATAGATATATTCACATAATACATATATATATATATATATATATATGTGTATACACCATAAAAATAAAGTTATATCAGATATGAAATTATTTGTGCATTGATAAATTTAATTGCTTTACATATGTAAAAAAAATTAATCGAAAATCGCTGAAACATAGCTGCGTGACACATGTATGTCTGAAAATTTTAACAACGAGTCAGTTTTGACCCAATTTCCGTTGTCTCGGAGGACTAATCAATAAAATACATAAAGGTTTAATCGTCGACGAGTTGCTACTGGACTGTTTCTTCGCTTATTGGCTTCATGTCAATATGCTTGTTTGCTATATAGAAAACAAATATTGGACACTCTCGGACAGGCGGAAGAGCGTTTCGAAATCAAAATGGTAAATTGAAATATAAACTCGCATGTAAATTGCAATTTTCGGTGAAGAAGAAAAGTTGCTCTTGCAAACTTCTTTTCGCTAAAATCGGTTGTATAACGGGAGCGTAGGATTATTCCATAAATGGAGAGCTAAAGGCAGAATATAACGTTTCTATTAATTGCAACATTGCAAGTGATAATCTTGATAATGCTTCCGGACGAGCTTGGGACATAACCGGTGGATATAATGTACGTATTGCTACACTCAATGTATTCTATCTGTGTGAATAAATACATAATACAGGTTCGCGAGTTCTCATTACAAATGTGAAAGGTTAAGGCCGTTCAATACGTAAAGCATATTTTTCTGCGTTGAGTTTGCTTTCGAAACTGTTCACCCCGTGACATTGATTCTTTTTACGCACAATCGACTCAATGTGACTATACCCAGCCTATCCTAATGGGAATGTTTCATTTTTAGCGATTCAATCATCAATGATAGAATTGTCAGCGAATTTAAGACAATTTCATTATAGAGGAAGAAATGTCAAAAAAGATGGATTTCTCTTCAATTTTCAACATTAAATAAGTTTGAATATAAATTTGAATTACAAATTGGGGATCTTGCAAGCCTACGTCATCATTATTTCAACTAATTCCGATTCTAATCAAATCTAAAACGAAAATTGATATTTTGAAATGAAATTTACTTCTATATATATATATATATAAAACATACATCGCGGATCTTATTATTCATCGTGATTTTATTATTCATCAGTGAATATTTATCGCATTACAATAATCATCGTGAATGAATAATGTGGAAGCGCACGATATTACGTATTTACGATCGAAGAAGAGATACAAGCTATCGAGAGAAAATTTTGTCAACAAATTACAGGATGCTGAAATGAATAGTAACGTCGTAATCTGGATGGAACATCGAAAAACGAATTGGCAACGGAATATTGCCAAGACTAAAAAAATGGTAGTCACTTGAAAGAGAAATATTGATGCTAATTACGTCGATAGCGAAGAGATATCGAGGTACAGCACGATCAGCTTGAACTGGCCGATATACACTGACCGTCGCCAATTGCGAACGAATGCTACAAGAAAACTATTATTAGCATCCATTGGATCGGAAAACCTGACGACACGAATGATGCTTAAGTTCGACAGGCTATCGATATTCCGTATCGACTCGCCATTGAGTATCATGACCAGACCTAATGTCCTTTTTATTGGGCCCGACATTAACACTGATGAAAGATAAAAAGGAATATTTTGGAAAATAAAGAAAATCATATAACGGAAAGTCAACCCAAACAACAAGCATTCCTAAAAAATATCATAAAAACATCATAAAAACATCCTTCAAAATATCAATTTGGAACGTACATGTCTAAAAGATATCTGAGACATCATAAAGAGATCTTGTTTGAGAAGATATTCCTTTATCACATTTTAAAAACATTTTTTTATTACAATTTCGATATTTAGCATATACTTGTAAAATATTCAAACAACATTCTTTTTTCTTTTGTCTATAGCTTAACTTGAATTTCTTTTGAATGAATTTCTTTTGAAATTATGTATAAATAAAGTGGATAACATAATGCGCCAAATTTCGCGATAGAATACTATTATCGATCTTTGTCGTAGCTTCATAATAAGCCGATATCGGTTGCTGATAACAAACGGTGGTTGTTATCCATCGGAGCGGGAGGCTGATTATTTTTGCTCGCTCGTCCGTGAATCACCCGCCATTTCCCCGTTCACGAATATGCCTCTGCCAACGGAAGACATTGGATGACATTATCGTGAAAAATGAGCATAGAGATAACGAGGGTGCGGATGAATGTCAAGTAAATGCAACGTCGACCTGGGCATTTAGAGACCGCGACATGTCCTTCGGGAGCTTTAGGTATAAAACGCGAACAGTACCTATGTCCCATGAAAATGCCCATAAACGATAACATATGTATATTTCGACATAATTATAGTAAAGGGATGTGGAAAAAACTAATTGCGGTATTATTGTTCAGCAATTTATCATTGTTTGACAACCCACCTCTTTTTCTCCCATCAGTTGATTAATTCCTTACAACACGGTAAATCAAAATGCAAAAACAATAATAGTGCTAGAATCAGATTCATCAGATATATTATATCTTATCCTATAAGAAATATAAAAAGAGAATATTTTGTTAAAGTTCAAATTTATATGCATCTTCAAATAAACTAAAATGTCATATTATTCTAATATTTCATACAACATGAATGTAAAGCAAACTCATCAATTTGGTAGACGTATTTGGCTGATTGAAAGTCTTTAATAAAACTTTAATTATAATCTTTTTATACATTCTTAATTTTCAATGTTAAATATTTCGACGACTCGGGTCAAATGAAAAATTTATTAAGAAAAAGTCATCTTGAAACTGAATGAAGATTAATTTTTATTTTTTAGGATTAATTTTTCATTTTTAATTTTTCATCAAGAGATAAGAATTAATTCGCCCTTCGTTGGATTTTATACTTATATTTGTCAGCAAGAAACGGATTTACGCGTAGCTTTACCGTGATTTTTTTCGTATACACAGTAAAGTCTTTGATGACAACAGAACGTTACAGCGATATTTTATGATAACCGTGATAACTTTGTTTACCCGGAAAACCTAGCGGGATGTCCACATGCAATCGACAGAATTGCTATCGTAAAAAAAAAAAAAAAAAAAAAAAAAAAAAAAAACCC